CGGGCTGTGCCCACGGAGCCCGCCCTGCAGGGCTCCCCCCGGCGCCCCGCGGACACCGCTGCTCGTGCGGAGCCTTCGCGGTGCCCGCCGAGCACCCCGTCACTGAGGGGACGCCCGCGAGCCGAGCCACCCCAGCGGGGGGACCCCGGAGGAACTGGCGGCGTCTGACCGTGCGAAATGTGGGGACGGACAAGAAGGGCCGTTCACAGGCATTTTCAAACATGCACGTTTGGGATCCGACTGTCTGGTTTCCTTGGCTCTTCTGGAGCTCCTTTCTGCAGATTGGACTTGCTTTGCGTGTGTTTCGTGCAGCGATCAGGAGGTTCTTATGAGTAGTGGCTTTTGTGCCGGTGAGATTTAGCATTCTCCCCGGGTTTCCTTTGCACTCCTCTCTTTTTCTCATTTATAAAATCATACTCTGGAAGAGTCCCTGGAAGTCTGGAAGGGTCCACCGAAATCATCCGCTTAATCTTTATTTTACTTTATTTTTTAAAATAACACAGTAAAATTGACACTTTTGGTGTACAGTTCTATGAGTGTTAACACATAGATTTGTATAGAACCATCAAAGTCAGGTTTCCATCAGTCCTGTTATCCCAAGAAGCTCCCTCTACCCCCCCTCCCCCTCAACTGTTTTTTTTTTTTTTTAAGATTTTATATGAATTTTTAGAGAGGAAGGGAGAGGGAGATAGAAGCATCCATGTGAGACTGATACATCAGATACGTCCATCGGCTGCCCCCTGCCCGCCCCTGCCGGGGACTGAGCCCACAACCCGGGTATGTGCCCTCAGGCCCATGGGAATTGAACCAGCAACCTTGCGGTGCTTGGGAGGGTGCCCAGCCAACTGAGCCACACCCGCCAGGGCAACACTGGTTCTTTTACTCAGGGTAATGCCTTAGCCATTCATCTGTATTGTTGTGTGTATCAATAATTCTTTTATTGTGCCCAGCCGGGCGTGGCTCAGTGGTTGAGCATCGACCTAGGATCCTGGAAATCGGGCTTCAATTCCCAGTCAGGGCACATGCCCGGGTTGCAGGCTAGGCAGCTGATCAATGACTCTCTCATCACTGATACCTCTCTCTCTCTCCCCCTCCTTTCCTCTCTCTGAAATCAATAAAGATATGTTTAAAAAAAAAATTCTTTATTGCTAAGTAATCCATTGTATGGATGTACCATAATGCAGCCACCCTTGAAGAATATTTGTATTATTTCTAGTTTTTGGTGATCATGAATAGAGCTGCATTTTGCTTTTTACTGTTATTTTTATTTTGAGGGCACATATATTAAAGCTGGGGACAGTGGAACAAGGAAGGGCTTACGTTAGAAGGAGCAGCAGGAGAGGGACTAGGCAGGGCTGCTTTGGCTCCCTAGAAATGTTATAGGAAAGAAATGAACTTAGGCAGGCCTGCTTTGGCTCACTGGAAAGTTGGATAACAGGGGACCTTAGAAACAGGTTCAGGGGGTTATACTGGAAAGAGCTGTGGCTGCCCATTGCTCTCCTGGTTACAAGCCTTGTGGGGACCCTTAGAGTTTAGGAGTTACTCACCTGAGAGGGAAGAAAGGCGCGGGTGTGCTCCTGGGAGGGAGAGTGTGCCACTTTTTACTGTTTTTACTTTTAATTTACCTATACTACTATATTTAAAGTAAGTTCCTGGTAGATAGTATTTAGTTGTGTCTTGTTTTTTAATCTATTTGGACAGTCTCTGTCTTTTACTTGGTGTGTTTAGACGATTTACATTTAATGTAATTATTGATATGGTTAGATTTAGGTCTGCTATTTTTTTATTGGTTTCTGTTTATCATTTTTTGTTCCTCTGTTTCTCTTTTCCTTCCTTTTAGATTATTTGAATATATTTTAGTCTTCCCTTTTATTTTTTCATTTTTATTTATTTTTTTAAATATGTCTTTATTGATTTCAGAGAGAGGAAGGGAGAGGGGGAGAGAGAGAGAAAAACATCAGTGATGAGAGAGTCATTGATTGGCTGCCTCCTGCACGCCCCCGGCTGGGGATTGAGCCCACGACCTGGGCATGTGCCCTGACCGGGAATCGAACCTCTTTGTCCTGGATCCTAGGTTGATGCTCAACTGCTGAGCCATGCCTGTCCAGGCTGTCTTTTATTTTTTTATTGATTGATTTGAGAGAGAGAGAGAAACCGATTTTGTTCCACTTATTTATACATTCCTCGGTTGATTCTTGTTTGTGCCCTGGCCGGGGATAGAACCCGCAATCTTGGCGTATCAGGATGACACTTAACCAACTGAGCTACTGTGCCAGGGCTTAGGATTCTTTTTTAATACTGAGTTTTTTACTCTATTTATTTGTATAGTTTTTTAAGTGATTGCACTAGGGATTATAATGGATATACCTAACTTTTTACAATCTACTTAGAATTAATATTTTACCACTTTAAGAGGAAGGTAGAAGCCTTATCACTACATAGGCCCCTTTTACCTCCTTGCTTTATTTTGTAGTTGTCATAGTGATTAATTTTCACACATTGAAAACCCCATCAAACAATGTTAAAATTTTTCAACCATCATTTTTAAAGATATCTCAAGAGAAAAACAGTATTTTTTTCTCCCAGTACTCCCAGATTACTTCTTAATTTTATAGGTAAGATAGATGAAGCTCCTGAGATGTTTGGTGACTTGCCCAAACTCCCAGTGGTAAGTAGTAGCTAAATCTAGAGCCAAGATCTTCAAACATTTGAGCCAGCATTTCTGCATTTCTTCCTCTTTCAGTTGATTGCATAAATGAGATATTTTCTATTACTTTTGTTACACTCAATTCATAATTGTCCTTATGGCTGCTAGTAGAAAAAGTATTCAGATTATTCTTGACTTTAGGCTTGGCAGGAAGTATTAAAATTCCAGTTCATTGCTTTCACCCACAAGATGCTGATAATGCAACTGTGCCAATTGTATTTTGTTTCTTCCTGTCTACCCAACTGAGAGACTTTGGGATTGATTTAGTTCTGTTTCATCTTGCAGATGTTCCTGGAATTGAAAATATTTAAAAAAACTATTTAGCTCTTTATCTTTTGTTTTGACTTTGAAGTTTGATGTTCATCGATTTATTGACCAGGCATAGGGTTTTTGCCTTATTTTGTTCATTCATTCGTTCGTACAACAACCTTTTGTGTGTTTACTCTATGTAAGGTATCATGATAATTATATAAAAAGATTAGTATGCTCTTAATAGTTAATATCTCCTGGGAGGAAATATTTTATACAGTAGCCCCCTGCCCCCCCCAGTGGTTTTGCTTTCCATAGTTTCACTTTCCATGGTTTCAGTTATCAGTTGTCAACCATTGTCCAAAAATAGTAAATGAAAAATTCTAGAAATAAACAATTCATAAGTTTTAAGTTGCCCGCCACGGTTCTGAGTAGTGTGATGAAATCTGATGCAGTGTGGTTCCCTCCCTCCCCCATCCAGCCGGCCC